TATTAATAAAAGAAATAACAATAGAAAAAAAAAAGGAATAAAATAGTGAGAAAAAACAAAAGAGGTAGGATTTAGAAAGATAGGCACAAATAAATACAATATTAAAGACTTGTTCGCTGACTCAAACAATAAGATATCAACTTGATGGTTAAGACTAAAATTCTACCTTAATTAAGTCGTCGCAAGATCAAATTATTCTCGAGCTAGTAATCTAGTATATATCAACTCGTGAAACAAGTCAAGTGTACGAGATAGATTGTGGTTGACAGTATATTGATGCCTCAGCTCAGCTATGTTTTTGGTGAAAACTTTTGAAAGCTATGTCAAATACAATATGGAATTGTAGTAATTAAGGATCATAATAACGTGTGTACCTTAATGAGCAAGGCGTTGAACCATGTGCACCCACAAAATTAGGTTACAAGTACTCCGTATAACAACAACAATTCGGAGGCGTGGTCGACGTCTAAACAAGTACTAATAACAACCTTGCAGTATTTGAACCGGAATTCATGCATGTTGACCATTTATGTCATAAGTAAACCAAACTCGATTATTTCATAACAAACCTATTTTGAAAATAGACATTTTGTGGACTATCACTTCCACGAGTTATTTGAAGGCTAGGAGAAATTCTAATGAAAAATTGTTGATGCAATAATTCAATCTATCCAGGCATCACATGAACATACCTTATAATTTAACTTGTATCCAAATCTAAATATACTCGATAATGATACATAGTTAGATAAACAAAAAAAACAGTGTAACATGGCCCTGTTCTCATACGATTATTTTATCTCACGACACAAGAGAGCCGTTTTGTTTTGTTTTTTTTTGTTTTGTTTTTTTTAATAAATAATACTAATAATAAAAATCCTAGATTGATGCGCCACAACATATCTCCTTCTTCAAGGATCAAAGACCTACGTACTAGGTACTGATCCACCAACAATAAACTCATCAACCTCTTAATAAAAAAAAAAAAAAAAACTTTCACAGCAGAAAAATTTGGCAAAAAGTTTATCCCACCGGTGGGTTGAAATTAAACCCACCGGCGGGGGAAATTTTCTATGAATGACCCCAAGAGTTAACCTGCTCTTATCTATGAACATAAGATAGGAAACAATATTCCTAAAAGATATACCATATATCCTAATGATATATTCTCTAAATAATATCTTAACATAAGATAATACTAAATATATTATTCTCTTAAATGATATTTACGGAAAATATATCACACATATATTTTCCGATATCTCATATGTCTAACAGTTCAGCTCTAATAAGTTCAGTTCAGCTCCTAATTTCCTTCTCTTATAAAATATTCATTTCAGTTCAGTTCGTTTAGTTTTAGTTCAGTTCAACTCTAATAAGTTCAGTTAAATTCAGTTCAGTCAATGAGAACAGGCCCATAGCCTATAATCTTAGTGTTTGAAAACCTTCATATATATATAATATCGATCATAGCATAAATTTTTTAACAAGAGTAAATATAAACATTGTATTCACAAACAAAAGAATGTGTTATAGTATAAACATTACTCAACATGACTTAGTGACAAGCTAAAGTGTTGAAGGTGATACAAAAATCCAGTGATCTAATCTCATCCAATAACCATTTTCCCATCGCCTTTCTCTACACCAAAAAGAAAAACACCGAACGTGAAATGACACAACAATTCCATTGATTACCCTATTTGATTTACTGTAGCATTATGAATTGAATAAAAAGAATATTGAATTCATAGGAAGGGCCACTAGGTCACCCTACATTAGGGAGTCAAAATAGAGCAAATGGTCCTCAATAATATGGTATAATAATAAAAAATAATAATAATGATCACATATCTAACTAATTAAAGCATTCTCCGATCCAAATGTTGTCCAGCCGATGTCCTAACTACTTTGTCCTTAAGCATATGCATATGGTCCCAACGTCAACATAATCCACTATTAAAGGCCATTTTTCACACTTTCAAATTTCTCTACTCCACAACAAAAACAATATTCAACAGTAATTTATATTCTACCTTTGAATTATATCTCACTTTTTATTAATTTAAATTATTAATTTATGTTTTAAAATAATAGATTATAAAACATATTTCTGGGCCTCAAAATATTCCTGGGGCTCAAACATAGTATTCTATAAAGAATATTATGTTTGAGCTAGTCCTCTAACATAGTATCAAACCAATATGACATAAAAATCACAAGTATTCTATAAAGAATACTATGTTTGAGCTAGTCCTCTAACATAGTATCAAAACCAATATGACATAAAAATCACAAGTTCGAATCTCATCCACCCCTCCTTCAAAAATAAATTTATAAAACATATTCCTGGGCCTCAACATATTCCTGGGGCTCAAACATAGTATTCTATAAAGAATACTATGTTTGAGCTAGTCCTCTAACATAGTATCAAACCAATATGACATAAAAATCACAAGTATTCTATAAAGAATACTATGTTTGAGCATGTCCTCTAACATAGTATCAAAACAATATGACATAAAAATCACCCCTCCTTCAAATGACATAAATTAAACTCAATATGACATAAAGGTGTCAATAAATTAAACTCCTTCAAATGACATAAATGAACCATAAAGAATACTATGTTTGAGCTAGCCCTCTAACATAGTATCAAACCAATATGACATAAAAATCACAAATTCAAATCTCATCCACCCCTCCTTCAAAAAAAAATTAATTCACCCCATATATAATTAAGCTTACAAATGCGGTAAAGGTGTCAATAAATTAAACTCAAAAATGAACCATAATACTATAGTATTCAGTATTGCATAATGCATTTCTTTCTTATACCGCGTTTTAATATAAATAAACTGCGTTAGGGTGATCAATAATCACTTAAATTAAAAGTGTCGTAGGACTAATACAACTGATCTCATAATGAAGGTAAAAATATAGTGCATGCAATGCACATTATTACTCATCAGTCATTATGCAAGACACGCATATGTGCATGGTCAATCAATAATTGCTATAAATCTAAAAATGGTACAAATTAAATTAAATGGTAATAAAACTCTTGAATCATATAGTCAAAACTCTAAAGGAGTCGCAAGTTGAATGAGAGGTTTATAGAAATGTCCCCACATCATCATGCCAATACTATGGTGTCACCTTTTTTGTACACATAAAATCATAGTGATAATATATATTGTGAAGAAAGAAAGAAAAAAGGTCCCTGAATTACCCAAACATACAATTTAAAGCAAAATTCGGTTGGTGACCAAATTATCTATTCCAAATAAAACAAAAAAATAGAGGTTATAAAATTTTAAAAAATTAAAATGATAAATAACGAAAAAAGTTACTCACTAAATGGAAAGTAAAAGCTGAAATTTGAATTGTGTCTAGTCTAAACCTAAAGCATGTTCTCTTGTCTTTGATGTATTTTTTACCTTTTGCCTTGGCTAACCAAAACATGATATTATTAGCACCTTCTTTGTCAATTATTATTTTAGTCCCCTACTTTATATTATATCCCTTTCATGAGTCACACTAAACTACATAACTAAATCTACTAGAATCACTATTATTAGGGAAAAAACAAATAAGTTTTGCTTAATTAATTAGGAAAGTAGGCCATGTAATCATTTCGAAATTAAATTAGTGAGTATTAATTATTGACATGCATGTTTGATTATTATTGTTGCCTTTATTAGTACTATTTCACAAATTTCAAATACTTCCTTCTCTATATAAATATTATTACTACCTCTGTTACATGAAATTCTAACCGATTTTCTTATATACGGTATCATCAAATGCACATCCTCCATGAATTCATGATCTTTAGTTTTATATTGATAGAAATTAAATAATAAAAAATTAATATTATGACATTAAAACAGCGAATATAACAAAATCAACTTGATAATATTGGATTTAATTAAGCTATTACAGTTCCTCAAAAAAAAAAAAAAAAAAAAAAAAGAAAAAAACTATTACAGTCGGTCAAAGTTTTCTATGATGTCTCTATTAAGAGAGGGCCATACACGAAATCATTTCAAAATAAATTATTTATTGAGATTATGCATGTTTGCTTATTTTTATTGACACTAATCAAATAAATTTCAAACATTACCATAATTTTTTAAAAAGGTAATATTTGTTACAGTTTAAACATTTTTTCAAATGACACTACTCAAATAATTACTATAGAGAATTGATTATTAGAGAATATACCAAGTAATCATTCCAAAAATTGACTGTGCTATATTTTGAGTAAAGGGCAAAGACGGACTCGCTCTAATGTTATTTCAAACCATGCATGCAAATATGTTGCATCCACTTGTAGTGTAGGAGACTTAGCTTGATTCTCAAGAAATGGTTGATAAGATGGAACTTCTTTAAGATCAAGTTCATTTTTAAATTTTGTCATCGAATTTATGATCTTTATAAAAGCTAAAAAATAAAAATCCAAACTAAAGCTAAAAAAGCATACATTAAAGTATATGGTAGCTCTGACTGTGTAGATTGGATAATCAGTGAAGGTATGCATACAAGTATATTTAGACGAAACATGAGTATATGTTAATGGCAATTTAACTTGACCAATAAAGTCTACTACATATAACAAATTATAATAATAAAAAAAAAGTACTGTAATATATATTAGGGCCTTTTTCATCGAACTGAATTGAGCTGAACTGATCGAACTGAACTGAATTGAACATTTTATGAGAGAAGAAAATTAATAATTGAACTAAAATGAACTGAAAATAAGCTGAAGAGAACAGACCCTTACTTTTTTTAAAAAAAAAAAAAATCCAAATAACATCTCCCTATTTCTAAAATTCCTAATATTATTTAAAATTTAAAACTATTTACAAACTTTACATTGATTCTTTTGTAATTTTTACATAGTGAAAAATATATTTTACTTAAAGTCTTCATCATTTTTTATGATGTATTTTAAATTATTAATTTCTTTCAATTACCATTTTCCATAATTATAAAGGGCAAGATGTTTAGAACTTGCGAAAGATTGTGTGTAAATGAATAATTTTAATACTCATCTGAATCTAACCTCAAAAACAACTTACTGCTTAAGTGCTTAGTAGTGTCTTATGACATCATTCTTATAACAAAAATCTACCAAATTTTAAAAAAAAATAAAAAAAAAAAATCCATGTAAAAAGGACACACTAACAAATCCCAATAAAAACATGGCATGCTTTTTTCTTTTGTAATTTTTTCTTTCATTTTTTCTTTCTTATGGTTGACTGACCATTTATTACATACCCTTCTAAAAATCATCCATTATTCCTCTCACTTTTTCCTCTTTTCTCCATCTATATATAATATATATACAACACAATCAAATTCCTCTACCATAATATATTTGAAATAGACCGTTTGTCACAATTTCTTTCTCATTAGAATTAACAATCATATACTATATAGTTTAAACTTTAATTTATACTTTGGCCAAAAAATAAAATACAATGGCATACATTAACAGCCTCCATAACAACTTCTCTTCCCTAGGTTGCTTGGATCTACACAACCTTGGAGTTCTCAACGCAGACATATCATCTTGTATATTTTCTCACCTTTTTTTTTCTTTTTGTTTTTTTTTTTGTTACTTTTTATGTTTAAAACTTGCCATTTTTTTTGAAGGTTGTTTGATTATTTTTTCTTATTAATATAGATGATATGGAGAACAATAATGCAGGATCATTATTGATGTTACCAAGTTCAGATTATGGTAATAATTACTCTAATAATCTCCTCTCGACGGGGTACCTTGAAGATGCTTTGATCGAGTTTAGTGTTCGATTTAAACGAAGACGTGTTATGGTATCTTCCAATAATGATAGTTATCATTATGGTGGTAATTATGATCACCATGATCATGATAATCAGTTTGCAACTCGTCATCCTTTTGATGATCTTGTAAGTAATCTTTTACTCGATTATGTTGTTTAGTGTATTTCATGATAAAGTTGTGTACACCTGATCCATAGCTCGGAATTATTATAAGAGGTTGAAATATTGTATAGTACTATGTTTTTGAAATAAATGTTACTAAAATGTGGTTGTTGTTATTGTGTAGAGTTGTTGGAGTAACTTGTTTGCCAACTACAACATGCAATCAGAAGATCAGGAATTAAGCCATGCAAGTTTGCTTAATCATGATCACATGCATTACTCCTTAGGTAATTAAACAATACTAATTTTTAACTAATCATTTCTTACATTATGTAAATTTACTAGACAATAATAATAACACAGTTGTCCAGTTGACTATAAAAAAAAAAGTGTTTGGTACCAATAATCATAGCGTACTTCTTACCTTCAACCAAACGAGCACAAATTAATATATAATGATGAACTGTATGAAAAAAAAGATTAGCTTTCATTTGCGAAAATGTTTTATTGATTTGAATTTTGTTACAATGCTATGAACAGGGGGAATTATGGAGAAACCAGCTAATAAGGAAATGTACGAGGAAGTAGTTAAAATAGAAGAAACAAACACATTACTACTAGAAGAAGCAATCACAAGTTCTCCAAAGGTTATGGACTTGTCTTCTTACTCCAAACACAATAATTCATTCAACTCAAAATCTACAACTTTTGCTTACAACAGTGACACAAATTCTACGGATTCTTCGTCAATTTCTGGTACTTTCTCTCTCTCCGGCTTTTATTCACATTATTAATTAGAAATTACGCTATCAACATGGAATTGTGCTCAATAGTTGATAAGAACAAGAGGTGAACCACAATTTTAAAAAGTCTAACAATGAAGATTTAATCATAAAATTATTAATACTATTACAAAAAAAGTCGTATTTATTGTTCTCTGATTCTCCAATGTGAGACACACTAAAACAGTTGTACTCACACGATCTCATTATCTATCTAGGTTCTCGACATAAAATCTAACATTATATTGATTTAGTGGTATACACAGTATGCTACAATATTTGTGGGCTCTATTTTTGTGTGCAATGAACGGTACGGGTGAGGGGCCGATAGAGGTGGAACCCTTGATTAAAAAAAAATGTTGTATACACCCTACGCATAACGGCATAAAGTCATAACACAAAAATCTAAATTCTAAGGTAGTTATTAATAATTCTACAAAAATTAGCATATGATTGAATTTTAGAGACATTTAGGTTTTCATGAGTTTGACTAGTGACGACTAATAATTTCGTACCACGTTGCGCTTAATAAACTGTCTTCTTCCTAATAAAATGATAAATAACAAAAATATGCAAAAATATGTGGAGACAATGGAGTATATTGTGAACTCGAATTCTACCAGAAAAGTGCTAAACTCGAGACTTTATTACTGGTCAAATTTTACCACAATTGCCGAATATATTGCCATGCATGTGATGCAACTCTATAGTCGTTGTTAATCATGGGAAGGAGGCTACTTTACTTTAGCATTATCATGCTATAAATATTAAAAAGGTGAAATATTTGTAATTATGCATGTACCACTAACCATAAAAAAAAAAAAAAAAAAAAAAAGGTGGGTAAAAAGTCGTAAAACTTATATTACGCCCGTTTAAAATGACTGAATAGTTATTATCAGCTTAAATTTCACTATGAATATTGGTTGATCAATGTGATGACTAATTTGAGACGAGGAAAGCATAATTTTGAAATGAAACATAAGTACCGAATAGATAGTTAAACTACCGTCCAGGGCATCGAGGTTAGCTAGCTAACATTGAGCTGTTTCATCCAATTTCAAGCTTAATTTGCCGACAAGAAACTTAAGAGGCCCCATGCAAAATAAAGGGATATCACTACCAACGAACGTAGATAGTAGTTGCTATAAATTAATGTCACTAAATTCAACTACTTAGTCCAATTTTTTAGTGGAAAATTTATGCGAACATGTCAAATCTGTTACCTATTTTAGGTCTACATAATTAACCTTTATGAAATTACTATTGTAGGGCAATTGATCATACAATATGAACCATGAGACCGTTATCCTAGTTCATAGAGTATTTTATGTGATAGAATTATAATAAAATTAATTGTTGTTAGTTACAAATTTCATTATTAGTGTTTGATGTTGTGATTTTCATTTTGTATCAATGGCTAATTAAATCTTGTACGTTATATTGGTTGTTACAACAGACGAGAGGGAAAAGAAGAAGATGAAGAAGGCAAACACGACTTCGAAAATGGTATACCCATTTGGGCTAGTGAAGCCAGGGGGAGAAGAGGGGGATGTAACCCTGAAAGACATAAACCAAAGGATATTAATGCCTCCTACTAGACCCCTCAAACACCCTGTGGGGGACTTTGCTTGTCGCCCCGCCGTGTCGCCCCATGGCCCCGGGTTATCAGGCAAGGCTGTGGTTGCCTTGACCAAAATTCACACCCAAGGTAGGGGTACCATTACCATCATTAGAACCAAGGGTTGACGTATAATCAACATTAAATTAGGGTCAAAAAAAGAAAACAAACTGTGGATATATGTACCATGTATTATAAATTTCATTGTACTATTTTTACTTATTAGAATGTCAATCTCCTTTTGACTTAGATCTTAATATATATATGTAAATTGAGCAACTTTAGTACGAAAGAAATACAAGTATAATTCTCTCTTTTTCTTTAATTTATCAAGTACATTTTTTTTAATGTTGATGGAATGAACTTTAATTTAATCACCCTATAAAATATATACGACTCTGTTATAATACGTATAAACCTTTTCCATTCAATTAAAACATAAATATCAATGTCTCATCCAACAAGATCGAATTCAAACCCTACTTGGTATTGAAAGGTAAAGTGGAATAATTATAAACAATACATATGTTGAAAAAGAAAAACAAAAAATCAAACTAAAAATACAGTGATATAGAATTTGAAAAATAGTTATGGTTAGTTGGGTTTGTTCAGATGACATTCTTTTCTGGCTTTGGAATTGGAAGTCCAGAGTTGTCTGACTTTGAAAAATAGGAAGTAGTAGCAAATAGTTTAAGCAGCATAAAGTCATGCACTTAGTTATCATATTGTTTTTTTCAGCATGGTACCAATGGTCCATGAAGTAGTTGTCTGTCTTTTAGCATGTCCATATCAACCCAAACATTAAAGTTTCTTAGGTTGAAATTTCAAACATTAATCCTTTTTTTATTTTAGGTTGATGAGAGTTCTAAATTTCTAATACTACTACTTTTGTTCTTTTCAAATTAATATTTTAATCGTCACACTTTTCTTTTATGTATGTTTATTTTAATTTAATTATCACATTTTCTATTTCATGTCTAATGAGGTCTTAATCTAGAAACAAAGACAACGAGCTTGTGTACATATGGTGTGTACGTAAGAAGTTAAATCCCTTCCCTAATTGAAATGTGTAATGCATGTCTCACTCATTAACAAAAAAAAAAAAAAAAAAAAAAAAAAAAAAAAAAAAAACTAATTAGTGAATATTAAAGTACAAGTATAAGAACAGTTAATTAAGAGCCTATAGTTTTCTATTTTTTGATTTTTTGTTTTTAAAAATCATATGATATATGTCATATAATGGTTTAAAAAATAAGTCAATCTTATTAAGAACATGATAATTTTGAAAATTGTCAATTGAAAAATAGAACAAACAATTTTTTTTTATTTCTTGTTTTTAGTTTTCATAAAAGAATATTGAAAACAAAAGATAATCACAAACAAACCCTTTAATAAGATTTCTTTCAAATTAAAACAAAAAAAAAACACCTATAAGATTCATATTTTTATTTAAAGAGAAAGAACATTGTACGTAGCAAACTAACAATTTATTTGGGACAGTAACACTTTTATAAGGTTAGTCTGCAGGTCCTAAAGATTGAAGGGTTCCATAATAATTGAGAAGTTCTTTTTTATGTTTCTTTAATCTTTAGGAACAAAAGATTGGGCCCAACAACTTCAAAGTATCAAAGTAGATTCAATCTCTTAAATATGAAAATGGGGAAAATCCTCTCCAGCCGCACACACATTCAGAGGAATCAACTCACTCACTCACTGACGTGGCCTAGTTCGAGGAGTATGAACTACGACATTTAAATTTTTGTCAACTAAATTAGTTGGTTAAAATTTTTAGAATAATACATAATCGATTAAAGACGTGAATTTAATTTTTTATTTACATTATGTGCAATTTGATACGAGACTCTTTCACGTCAAGGTCCATGAAAATTCCAACAATATTTTCGAAAATGTACATGCTTTCTTAACGAGTATGAGTACTACTTGTCTACTCGTATCATCGTATGTTTCATTGGCTCTATTTCTATGTAATTCTTTTAAGTGACTGAACATGGATTGTTAAATCACTTTTGCAGGTTGGTTTACTCTGTTCCGTGAGAACCTTAAACAGGAGAATTTTTAAATGAATCATATAAATTTTATTTAATATAAATAAAGCTGGAAAAGAATAGCAATGGATCATATACGTACAGTATTACAGTGGCGTCATATCCCAAAAAATAAAAATAAAAATAAAAATCCGATTTAATTCAAAATATATTACGACGTAAATGTAACAAGTTATCACATGAATATGCTTTTTTTTAAAAAAAACAAAAAAAAAACTACTCGTGGTTAATTCAATGACTTTCTAAAAGTTTTAGAGATTATTATTATTATTATTATGGATTATTATTATTATTATTATTATTATTGTTGATGACTTAGAGCAACTCCGATGACTTAGTTTGTCATGTTACATAGGCTTTTAAGCTATTATATTTCTAGCTAGTTTCAAACTCATTGACTATCTCAAATGGTCAAGCTAATAATTAGGGACTTTTTAAAATTACAAACAAATTTCTATCGACAACCATTAGAGTTGCTATCCTACAGTTATATATTCGCCAAAACATGGTAAGTTGAATTGAAAAATCGTAAGGTGAGATAGCAAATGAAAAAAAAAGGAAGTGAGGAAGTGGTATCCACAACAGACCTACAAAGATTTGGTGGGCACACGCCAATAGGCAAAGGGCATTCCCCTAGAAAGGTCAATAAAGGTTTCTTCATTCACTCACAAACTAATCATTGTCTCTATTAGACAAACCTTGTTTAATCACTGTCTCCCACAATTAATGGACCATATCATCTCTTCATTACTTTTTACTTTTTTTTTTAAAAGAAAAAACATAAATTTATTTATTTTTATTATCTTTTACATTTGAAGGATAATGTAATATAAAACCCTAAACACAATTCCTAAATGGTATATATATGAGAATTTATTTATTTATTTTACAATTGTTTAAAGATGATAACATGCATCAAATTTGCATAATCAATGCTTAGTTATTTACAAAATTTTCCTTTTTTTTTTTGAGGTAGAGGGTTAGTACATTTTAATCAAATAGAAAGAGTACCAAGATCGATCTTCATAAATAATTTCAGTTATAAAAATCTTATCATATAAAGGTGTACTCGTTTCAGCTTCTTTTGATACGCTCAATTATGATAAACTATTGTCTTTACTAGAGTTGAGTGACTGGAAAAAAAAAATAAGGTAAGAAAGTTAGATGAAATTGATAAAAAAAAATGTAGTTAAAGTGAGCGCCATAAAAAATGAAGGATTATATAAATGGTAAGGGATGAAACAATAAGATAAATTTATCAAAAATAAAATGAATAGATTTGAGCATATCAATAAAAACACCTTTAAAATAAAAAGTAAGACATCATAAAACATTAAAGTATAATTAAATGGCCTAAATCTATTTGTAGTATTATTTATTAATTTTGTTTTTAATGTTTGATAAGCAAGGTGCATAACATATATAGTACTTGCTTTAATTTTTTGCTTTGTTTATAGATGTGAAAAAAGGACTAAGAAACTTTGATAAGATCGATGTCTTTTTTTGTTCTTCAAAAACATCTAAAAGTAGTGATATTTAAATTATTAAATAGACCAGCACATTATGCAATACTAAAAAGTAAATAAGTAGTCCCTAGCTCTTTTTATTTTTCTACTTACTTGCATTTTGTGTAACTCTAATGATATCTTTAATTATGTACTAATGTAAATTAGAACGTTTTTAACAAGATCTAACATTATGCCTTTTGTTTTATATGTAAGTAGCAATAAATAGAGCTGTCAAAAGTTGATCCGACCCGAAATACCGATTCAAACCCAATTATCAACCGACCCATCTGAACCCGGAAAAATGGTAACCCAAACCCGACCTGACTCAACCTGAAACCAACCCTAGACCCGAGTTGACCCGAGTATGTGAGATCCAAACCCGAACATGAACTGACCTGGAGATGACCCGACCCGAATGTAACCCGTAAATTATTGACCTGAACCGAACCCGACTTGAACTGAAATTGACCCAAACCCGTTAAAACCCGAATCTAACCCGACTTGTTACTAACCTAACCTGAATTCAACCCGACCCGTTCCTAACTCTACCCGAATTTTACCCAACCTGTTATAAACTCGACCTGAAATCAACCCGACTTGTTATTGACCTGACCCAAATTCAACCCGAATTTTTATTGACCCGACCCGAATTTTACCAGACCTATTACTAATCCGACCCAAAAATTCAACCCAATATGTTACTAACCCGACTCGAAATCAATACGACTTGTCATTTACCTGACCTAAATTCAACCCAAATTGTTCCTGACCCGATTTCAAATCACCTTAAATGCAATTTAGATCATCTTACTATTGTTGATCAAAGCATTTTGTCTAGGGAGACCAAGTCAGTCCAGGCCAGCAAAAAAAAGGAGTATCATCCTCAAATTTAAGAGTCAAATATAGTATATATTTGTTGCATTGTCAAACGAGATAATTATCTTCTTAAATTATAGACTATAGTTCCCTATTACATTGCCATATATATTATAGTCAAAGGAAATAATTAGCTTGATAAAAATGATAATTACCTATTTATAGTTAGTTGAACCCGAATATGACCTGACTTGGAAATGACCCGACCTGATTATAACCTGCAAATTATTGATTTGAACATAACTCGACTTGACTCCGAGAATGACCCGGCTTGAAAATCACCCAACATTATTATAACTTGCAAATTATTGACTTGAACTGAACCCGACTTGAACCCGAGAATGACCCGACTTGAAAATTACCCGACCTGATTATAACCCGCAAATTATTGACTTGAACAAAACCCGACTCAAACCCGAGAATGACCCGACCTGATTCTAACCCGCAAATTAATTACTTGAACCGGACTCGACTCGAACCCAAGAATTACCTTAACCCATAAAAACCCGAATAAACCCGACCTATTGTTCACCCGACCAGAATGTAACTCGACCCAAACCCGATAAGATGTATGACCCGACTCAAGCATGACCCAACCAAACCCGACCCGCATAGGTTATGGAATTAATTAATCCGAATTGACCCGACCCGAGTTGACCCGACTCACTCTTACCACTAGTAGAATAAATGTAATGGCAAGCAGTTAATGGCAAGCGGTTTTGAACCGCATGGGATAAGGGGGCTTGCCATTTGCCATTTTCCATTTAAATGGCAAGCGGTTCAGAACCGCTTGCCATTACTAGAGAAAGGGCAGCGGTTTTGGCGCCAAACCGTTGCCCAATATGGGTATAAAA